GCCACTTCCCCTCCCCCCCTCCTCTTCTATTTTTTTTGGTGTGTGTGGTGTTGGGGATGGAACCCAGGGCCTCACACATGCTAGGCAGGTGCTCTACCACTAGGTCATGCCCCAGTCCCTCACTGGGAGATTCTAGGAAGGGGCTCTAACATTGAGCCATACCCTCAGCCCCTCACTGGGGGATTCTCGGCATTGTTCTGCACTGAGCCATATTCCCCAGCCCTGAATATTTTTGTAATGTGTTTGTGACTTTCTCAAAACTTATCAGCAGGCTGCTTGTGGTGGCATAAACCTTTAATTCCAGCACTCACCAGGCAGAAGCAGTGGATCTCTCTGAGTTCAAGGCCAGCCTAGTCTACATAGTGAGTTCTAGGCCATCCAGGGCTACCTAGTGAGACCCTTTCTCCAAAAAAACTAAGCAAAATAAAATTTATCAGAGTGGCTGGGTTTGATCTGATCCCCAGCACCCAATAACCCTGATGTGATTGGCACAGGCCTGTAATCCTAGCTTTTGGGAGGCAGCAAAAACTTTCAGGATGACAGGCTGCAAATACACCAAGAAATACAATACAAATAAGATTATCTTTAGAGAAAAAGTAACTTAGACCAGCTGTCTGGGGGAGTGACTTGGTGGCAGTGTGTGTCCTTAATGAGCCCAAGGCCTTGGATTTGATCCCCAGCACTCTACACTTGTACGAAGAACACATCACAGGACTAGGAAGGAAAGGTAGTTCTTATCAGGAGAGAGGGGGAAAAGCGGTGAACTGGGAGAGGAAGGGGTAAGAGAATACACTTTCTATTTTCTATTTAATTTAATTTTTTTTCTTTTTTCTTTTTTGGTCTTCTTGAGACAGAGCCTCCCTGTAGCCCCAGCTATCCTGGAACTCACTATGTAGACCAGGCTGGCCTCGAACTCACAAAGATCCACCTGCCTCTGCCTCCTGAGTACTGGGACTAAAGGTGTGCACCACTGCGCCCGGCTCTTTTTCTTTCCTTTTTTTTTTTTTTTTTTCCTTTCTTAAAGATACAGTCTCCCTGTAGCCCTAGATAGCCTGGAACTCATTATGTAGACCAGCCTGGCCTCAATCTCACAGAGATCCACCTGCCTCTGCCCCCCCCACTCCACCCCCATTGCTGGCTGAAGGTGTAGCCCAGCCCGGAACTCATGACTTCTGCCTGTGCATCTTCCACATACCCTTCTGGTGTGTGCCACCATAACTGGCTTTTTGCTTTAAAAAAAAAAAAATGTTTGTGGGGCTGGAGAGATGGCTCAGCGGTTAAGAGCACTGACTGCTCTTGCAGAGGACCCGGGTTCAATTCCCAGCACCCACATGGTGGCTATGAACCGACCTTAACTCCAGTTCCAGGGGATCCAAAGCCCTCTTCTGACCTCTGTGGCATCGCACGACACAGGTGCACTCATATACATGCAGGCAATACACTCATACACTAAAAATAATAAAATATTTTTAAAAAAGTGTGTGTGTGTGTGTGTGTGTGTCCGTGTCCACATGCCACAGTCCTCAACCTGCAGGAGTCAGCTTTCCTTCTCCATCATGTGGGTCCTGGGGATTGAACTCAGGTTATTATGATTTATGGCGAGCACCTTTACCTATTGAAACATCCCTTAGGTTTTTGTTGTTTTTTTGAGACAGGACTTTTTGTAGCCTAGATTGGCCTCATATTGGAACTGAGGATGACTTTGAGTTCCTGAGTCTCCTGCCTGCACTTCCCAAGTGCTGGGTGGGTGTGCATTCCACCACCTCCTTTTATGTGGTATTGGGAATGGAATCTAGGGCTTTGTGCATATTAAGCAAATGTTCTACTACTGAGCTACATCCCCAGGCTTTCCTTCTTTTCTTTCTTTCTTTCTTTCTTTCTTTCTTTCTTTCTTTCTTTCTTTCGAGACAGGGTCTCATTTAGCCCAGGATGACTGGCCTTGAACTCCTGATCATCCTTCTCTACCTCCCAAATGCTGGGATCACAGATGTGAGCCACCATGCCCTTCTACACTTTTCTTTAAACTTTAGATTTTGAATGTGTGAGTGTCACCATGTCTGTACTCAGATGGGCAAAAATAAATGCTCTGGGACAAACTGACAAAGAGCTGTGGGTAGAAGGACCACAAGTAGAGTTGTGTGCACATCATGTTTCTTTTGCATAAAAAAGGAGGATGTGGGGGCTGGAGAGATGGCTCAGTGGTTAAGAGCAGAGGACATGGGTTTGTTTCCCAGCACTTATATATATAAGGCAGCTCACAACTGCCTGTAACTCCTGCTCCAGGGGATGCAATGCCCTCTTCTGGCCTCCACAGGTACCTGCACTCATATGTACAAACCCATACACCGACATAAGTAAAAATCAATAATGTAGAGAATAAGAGATCATGGAGTTCTCAGCTCCAAATGGGACATCTATACTGCACCCTCTCCTTGCAAGGCTCAGGGATCAACACACAAACGAGAGGACAGAAAGATTGAAAGAGTTTGAGGTGGTGGATGAATACAAGGAAGCTGTGTTGTCTGGACACCACAGGATAGTTGCATGTGTGAACCTACAGCACTTATTTTTGTTTTACATGTGATTATTTTGTCTGCATATGTGTAAGTGCATTACAAGTGTGCAAGGCCTGTGGAGGCATGAATATGGCATTGAATCCCCTGGAACTGGAGTTACAGACATTGTTAGCTTCCATGTGGGTGCTGGGAATTGAATCTGGGTCCTCTGCAAGAACAGCCAGTGCTCTTAACCACTGAGCCATCTCTCTAGCCCACCCTTACAGCACTTGTGACGGCATGCACAATACATATGTAAACCCAAGCCAGACAAAATCCCAGTATGGATAGGGGAAGTAGGCAGGAAACCCCAACTCTAGCTGAGAATCTACTGGCAATTGATAACTACTGGGAGAGGGAGAGTCAGTTTTCTTTATCGGTGTCATACCTGATAGGTTAACAGACAACCAGACCCACACCCAAGAGTATTTGGGAAACACAGATTAGACTTGATAGGCCTTAAAAAAAAAAAAAAAAAGAAAGTCCTGGCATGGTAGTGCATACCTTTAAATCCCAGCACTCTGGAGACAGAGGTAGGTGGATCTCTGTAAGATTGAGGTCAGCCTGGTCTAAATAGTGAGTTCCAGGCCATCTGGGGCTACAGGGAGACCCTGTCCCAAAAAACCCAAAACCAAAATCAAAAGAAAACAAACACAAAAACCCCACAGTGGCTCAGGCCTTTCCTTTCCACACTCAGGATATGGAGGCCAGAGGATCACCACAAATTTGAGGCCAGCCTAGCTACATAGTGGATGCCAGAAAAGCCTGAACTATAGAGTGACAGCCTGTCTCAAGAAGATAAACATGGGGGTCTGGTTCCCAACACCCATATGGTAGCTAACAACTGTCCTTAGTTTCAGTTCCAGAGGATCCACTGTCCTCTTCTGACCTCTGAAGGCACTGCACATACATGGTGCACTTACCTACATGTAGGCAATACACTCATACACATAAAATAAAAACCTTTTTTTTTAAAGCCAACCGTGGGCTTGGCAGGTGAAGGTGCTTGCTGTGCAAAGCCTGATGACCTGAGTCCCATCCCCAGGACTGGTGGTGGAAGGAGAGAACTGACTCCCAAAAGCTGTCCTCTGACTTCCACACGTGTTGTAGTACACGTGTGGCTCACAACCACCTGTAAAATTCAACTAAAGGGGATCTAATACCCTCTTCTGAAGCCTGTTCAATCACTTGCATAGGTGGCCTACACACACAGACACACAGACACACACACACACACACACACACACACACACAAATACTAATGATAATAAATAATAAAGTGTGATATTGAAGGAAACAGAAAAAGAAAAGAGAGAAAGAACAAATATTTGGGATGTAGTTTAGAGGCAGAGCACTTGTCTAACGTACAAAATCCTGAATTCTATTACCGGTACTGAGTCAGGGAGAAGGAACCCAGGGCTCCATGTCAATCACATGTTTTGTGTGCATAAGGGTCTCAGTTTAAGGAAAAAAAAAACCCAATATTTTGAGCCTGTTATGGTGATGCATATCTATAATCTCAGCCCTTGAGAGGTGCAGGTAGGAGAGTCAGGAGCTTAGGATCATCCTCTGATACATAGCAGGCTTCAAACCAGCCTGGGCTACATGAGACCTTGTTCAAGGTTATCTTTGGTTACATATTGAACCAAGGCCAGTCTGGGTTCTACAAGATCCTGTATCAAAAAAAAAAAAAAAAAAAAAAAAAGCTGTGTGGCTGGGCATGCTGGCATATGCTTTTAATTCAGGAGGCAGAGGCAGGCAGATCTCTGTGAGCACAAGGCCAGCCTGGTTTACTTAGTGAGTTCCAGGCCAGCTGTGGCTACAGGGAGACTGTCTCAAAACAAACAAACAAAAAAAACCCAAAAAACAAAAAACCTGTGCGGTTGTGCATGGTGGTACATGCCTTTCATCCCAATCCCAATACTCTGAAGGCAGAGGCAGGTCAGTCTCTGTGAGACTGAGGCCAATCTGGTGTACATAGAGTTCTAGGCCAGCTGAGGCTACAGGGAGACCATGTCTCAAAAATAAGTAAATAAATAAATAAATAAATATCAAGGGTTGAAAATATAGCTCAGTGGTGAGCATGTGTGCGGCATGCAGGAAGTCCTGGGTTCCATCTTCATGATCATAGCAGGAAAAAAATCAATCTCATCTGTGTAAAGCTAATTGGTTGTACATTAGGCTAAGAGATGGAGGGCTCTCGAGATGGCTCAGCAGGTAAACATACTTGTCATCAAGCCTGCCAACCTGTGTTTGACCCCCAGGACTCACATGGTGGAAGGAGAGAACCAACTCCCTCAGGTTGTCCTCTACCTCCACAAGCAAACCACACTAATATGCACACAACTACACATACACTAAATGTGGTAGAGTAGAGGATTGGGGATTCAGGGGCCCTGGGATACTGTAACACTGGTGACAGACACAACAGAGTTTAGGCACAAGTGCAGTCTTGACAACTATTCTTTTATTGAATAGTAGTGACAGAAAAATACATGATTCAGAAGAAAGCTCTCCCCCCAAATTTCAGTGTGGATGAGCCTGGCTGTGGGGTTGGGACATATGTCCATGTGTCTGTGCTTCTTTCCTATATGTGAACTTCTGTGGTCCTTCCCACTCAGGTGGATCACCAGGGGCCAGAGAGAAAGATACCTGTGAGATTGGGGATTGGGGGTTGGGGGTTGGGGGGTGGTCCTCACAGGGTCCACCCACTGTGCTTGCAGAGGCTCCCCTGCCTCAGGCCTAGGAAGGGACAAGCAGGACCCTTCTGGGGGAGTTCAGAGTCTGGGTCGTCTGGGGAGGCTGGTCTTGAAGAGTGATTTTCCAGAAGCTTCTATGTAGGTGATGGTCATCTCTTTGGGGCTTATCTCCACATGGGTGAAGCCGCCCAGTGAGTCCTCAGACCCATAGTGAAAGCGCAGGTAGCCGTTGGGTACCTTGCGTTGGTGTCTCACAGAGGGGTCCATGAAGTTCCCGGCCCCACTCAGCACGTAGCCCACTCCATTCTCATCCTGAAGATACTGAGGACAGAGGAGGCAGGGTTGGTGGAGACCCCAGCCCCAGCTTTGGGATGATGGGAGTTCCATACAGATTTGCCTCAAGTGCAGGGATAGGTGTGGGTCTGACCACAGAGCTACGTAGAGCAAGAGGTGCTCAACTTCTCCTTGCCTCAGTTTCCCTACCTACAGGAGTATATCAATCCTACTTCATAGGTAGAACTAGCAACTGGAAGCTTTTTAGACTTTTAGGGATTTTTTTTTTTTTTTTTTTTTTCCGCGCTGGGGATAGAACCCATGGCTAACCTGAATGTCAGGAAAGCACTCTACTGCTGAGTCACAGTTCCAGCTCCTTACTGGGGGATTCTAGGCAGGGGCTCTACCCCTGAACCACACCCCCAGCCCTACACTGGGGGATTCTAGGCTGGCACCCTACTAGTGAACCATACCCCCAGCCCCTCAGTGGGGGATTTTAGGCAGGTACTCTATATCTGAGTCGAGACCCAAGACCCTTAGTGGAGGGTTCTAAGCCAGCACTCACTCATTGAACTATGTCCTCAGCCCTGACATCAGAGTGTGAGGGAGAATACTGGTGTTTAGAAAGCCACCAGAGGCTCACTGAACAAGGGGACTTTCAGCATGTAGCACCTTGCAGTAGTAGAAGGACTGCTTGCAGGCTCTCCACCCTACCCACTGGGTCCTCACCTGCAGGTTGTGATCATGTCCACACAAGTAAGCAGTGACCCCATATGTGGCCAACAGTGGCTTCAAGTGCTTGACCAGGCAGCGGGTGGGCCCGTGCTCAGCAATGGACCAGATGGGGTAGTGGCCGGCCACTAGCACGTAGTCCTCTTTGGCTACTGCCAGCTGCTTCTTGAGCCAGGAAAGCTGGGTCCGGGCCACTCCCAGGTCTTGGGGCATCGTGGGCTGCTGGCTGACAAAGTCGTCCGAGTTGCCACACAACATTACTGTGTCTAGCATGAAGATGGCCACGGTCATGTTAGTCCGTGGGATTTTGAAGCGCAGGCGGTAGTAAGGGCTCGGGAAGTTCCTGTGGAGGGGACAGAAGTTGTGGATGAACATTTTAGTTAAAGGCACACTAAGGTTGGCTCAGACCAAAGGACCTCTTTTTTAAAAAATGTGTGTGTGAGGGGCTGGAGAGCTCGATCAGCAGTGAAGAGCAATGGCTGCTTTCTCAGAGGACCTGGGTTCTATTTCCAGCACCCACGTGGCAGCTAACAACTGTTTGTAACTCCAGTTCCAGAGGATGTGATATCCTCTCTGGCTTCTGGAGGCATTGCACACATGTAGTGTACTTATATGCATGAAAGAAAAACATTTACATACATAAAATTAAAATAATTTGTGTGCTACATACATATTTATGTTTGCATGCATGTGTGCAGGTGCACATGCGTGTAGAGTTAACCTCAGCTGTTGCTCCTCAGGAGCCACCTGTCTTGTGTGTGTGGGGGTCTGTAGATGCACATGTGTGTGCATGGCGGCCACTGGAGGGAGCTGAGTGTCCTCCTTTATCTCTTTCTGCCCTGTTCCTCAGATGCAGGGTCTCTTATTGAATTGACCCTGGAGTTCACATTTTTCTGGGTAGACTGGAAGCCAACAAGCCCCAGTGATCTTCCTGTCTCTCTCATTTAGTGCTGGGGTTACAGGCACGAGTGGGACCATGCCCAGTTTTTCATGTGGGCACTTGGAACTGAACTTGGGTCTTTACGCTGGAAGAGCAAGTGCTTTTAACTGCTAAAACATCTCTGCAGCTCCACCGTTTTTTTCATTTTATTTATTACTTTGTGTGCATGTGCCACAGCATGTGTATGCCAGAGGAAAACTTTTGGGAATCAGTTCTCTTCACTGTACATTCTGGAGATCTAACCCATACAGCCATCTCACCAGCTACCCATCTTGTTTTTTTTTTTTTTTTTTTTTTTTTTTAAATCTTTTTGAGACAGGGTCTCCCTGTATTCCCAGCTGGCCTAGAACTCAGTATGTAGAGTAGGCTAGCCTTGAACTCACAGAGCTCCATCTGCCTCTGCCTCCTGAGTGCTGGGATTAAAGGCATGAGCCACCATGCCCAGCTCCATCTTGGTTTTTGAGACAGGGTTTCTCACTGAGTTGTGGGGTTCACAGATTCAGCTAGGTTGGCTGGCTAGCAAGCCCCAGGATCCTCTGTTTCCACCCCCCTAGCGCTGGGGTTATAGGTGTATGCCCCCATACTGGCTTTTTACATGGGATTCTGTGGACTGGACTAGAGGTTCTCATATTTGCTTAGCAAGTACTTTACCAATTAAGCCAGCTCTTCATCCCCAAAGGCCCTCTCTGGCTAGACGCAGTGTTGAACACCAAACAGTGGTCATCCCAATACTTAGCAGGCTAAGGCAAGAGGACCTTAAGTTTGAGACAAGCCTACACTACAAGGCAAGATCCTGTCTCAAAAATCAAACAGCCGAGCTGGGTATGGTGGTGCACATCTTTAACCCCAGGACTGAGAAGGCAGAGGCAGGGGGATTGCTGTGAGTTCCAGGCCAGAGTGGTCTACATAGTGAGTTCCAGGATAGTTAGAGTAACATAGTGAGACCCTGTCAATAAATAAATAAATAAATAAATAAAGTAAGCAAATAAATAAATGAAGCAACTGAGTGTGTGGTGAACATCTATAATCTCAGCCCTTGGGAGGTGAAGGATCAGGAGTTCAAGGTTATTCTGGGCTATGTAGTAAGTTCAAGGCTAGCCTGAGCTACATGAGATTCCTTCCTTCCTTCCCTCCCT